ATCAGCTCTAAACTACTTTTTGATATGACTCTAATTTCTTTTATAAGTTTGCTCCTGTCTGGTATGTTCCAGGTTCATCTTGTATATTTCCTGCTGCAGACCTGGAATCAGCCATTTCTAGGTTCCTTTCAGTGGGAAATATTGTTTAGAGACCACAACCTGGGCGGTAAGCACACTGATCGCTTCTCAGCTGGTTATTATTTGTAGTGGACAAAGCCAGAAAATGTGTATGTGTGATTTTTAAAGAAATTGCACATTCTGATATGTCCAATTCAAATTCAGGATAACCATGTTTTTACTTATATCCATAAAATACCCCCTTTCTCCTGTGATGACAATCTCAATTCTAAACACTCCCAGTGTAATTACCACTTTTCTATATTTCATACTACACATTAAGTCAGATTAAAATTAGCCTCAGAATAATTAGACAAAAACTAAATAAACAATAAACTAATTAAAACAGTTCAGTCTTTTTTTCTCTTTGTCTTTCAGGTACATCCCACCAGGGATGGATAGTCAAATTAATGTGTGTAGGCTCACTGAGAACAGTTCCTCTGTGTGTGGCTGTACCACCAACTGTTTACATAGTTAGTTTCATTTATTTCATTTTGCTTTACATTTTTAATAATTCCTTCTTAAATTTAATTTTATTTTACAATAATAAAAGTATTTACCTGGTTCCAAAGTCAAGTAAATCTACAAGCACAGTACATTAAAAATCTAGTATTTCCTCCTTCTCCTCCTCTATAATGTTAAAGTACGATTTACCCTTTCCCTTTTTGTATGAGAAAATATGTCTCCATGCTTGTATTCCTCTCCTTTTTCTTAGAGGAGTGAGAGCATACTGTGAACACTTCCTACTCCTTGTTGCTTTCACTTAATATAATATTACTTCTTAGTGATAAATACAAGTCTTTGACTTGGGCTCTGTTTCACCATACAGAGAGGACGTTTTCAGCAGGTATCTACAGGTTCTCCCTCCACTCTCAGGTACCACCTCCGATCCACCGTGGGTTAACTTCAGCATCCAAGGCCTGACCCCTCCCCCTACCCCACTACACTCCCACCAGAGCCATCCTCGCTCCCTGAACTGTTGCGGTGGTACCTGCGGCTGCTCTCCTGCATCTACCTCAGAGCCCTCTGGTCTGCTCTCAGCACATCCTGACCATTTGAGATTAAGTCAGATTATGTCACTCTTCTCCTCAAAACCATCCACATGGTCCCACCTCTCCTCGAGTGAGAGCCAAAGTCTCTCTACACTTGCTTCCCCACCTTCTCTCCTTCAGGAGCTCCTGCCTTCTCCTCTTCCTCTCCACGTGGTTTGTTTGCTGTGTTCTGCCTCTGGGCCCTTGCGCCGCCCTGCATGCTTCCTTCTCCTGTCTGCGGTGCTTACTCTCTCACCTCTTTCAAACACTCGTCCAAGTGGCATCTTCTTGGTGAACTTCACTTTTCCCGCTTCTAAAATTGTAACCTGACCCATCTTCAGCTCAGCTTTCTTTTGGCTTCCTCTGTTTTCCCATTCTGCTTACTACCTTCTATCATGCTATGGAATGCTTATTATCCATTCATTTGTTGTCTTTGTTCTGCCATGGAATGTAAATTCCATAGGGTACCGATCTGTATCTGTTTTGTTCACTGATAGATCACCACTGCCTAGAACAGTGCCTGGAAAATAGTAGGCACATAATAAATATTGTTGAATGAATGAGTAAAAACTTTGTTAACTTAACTGAAAAAGTTACCAAACTGTGGCCCAGTATTACAGGAATATTTGGAACCACACTGACCATCTGACCCACAAGAGAACAAAGACCCTTTCCCAGTGACCAGAACATTACTTCTTTCTTTGCCATATCCTGAGGCTACGCATGAGAATTGATGAGGGTCATATGGTACTTTCCCACATCACACAGCTGAAAGATAATAACAGCTTACTATTTACATGATTTATTATGTTAATATAAGGTTTACATTTACTATTATTAAGTCATTTGAACAATACAGCAATCCAACAAGGACCACTTTATGGTTTTGCTCATTTTAGAGATGAAGCCATTTAAACACAAATAGATTTTTAAAATTTCTTATAGCTAATAATTTATAAGTGGTAGAATTAGGACCACTATCTCCAGGGAATTTGGCTCTAGCACTCAAGCGTTCAACCAGTACTATCCACTGGGCAATGATAGCAGTGCTCCTCATCTGTACTATTCAGTGTGGTAGTCCTAGAGCAGTGATGGTGAACCTGTTAGAGACTGAGTGCCCAAACTGCAACCCAAAACTCATTTATTGCAATTAAACATGAATACTGAGGTTTTAGTTTACAAAGAACAGCTCATACACTTGGTTTGCATGCCAGCAGAGAGCTCTGTGTGCACATTGCACCACACATGCCAAAGGTTCACCACCACTGCCCTAGAGTCACAAATGGCTGTTTAGCAACCGAAATGGGGCTAGTTCAAGTGGAACTCCATTTTTAATTATACTTAGTTTCAATTAATTTCAATTTAAGAATGTGTCATTACTGTGTGGAAAGCTCAACTCTAAGCCACTATGCTCTTGTGCTTTTTAGGGATGACTGACAGGGTATCACGAGGTTGTGTAAGGGTTTGTTGCAATTGTTTTTTAAATCCAAAGGTACCTCTTCATAGGATTCTAAGGAATGACTACAACCCATGAACTTGAAGTCTTCCAGTGTCATATGAAACATATGGCTCTCTAATTTCCAAGCGTCCTTAGAACAAAAGAAAAATAAAGGATATGTTGTCTAGATATATTATGTTCCTTTTTTTTGAAAGAAATAAAGAGGATCAAATTGTTCTGACTGTAATTTGTCCTTATTTAAGAACGTACTTGTGAAGAGAAAAATAAAATTACTCGCAAAAGGTAGAGCGTGACATTGCTGGTTCAGTTGAAAATTGCAAGTTTTACTTCTATTGATGTTTAAATTATATTTTAAAAAATTGAAAAATATATAAACCAATTTTTTTAAAAAGATGGGAAAAGACCAGTCAGATAAATTTTACCATCTGGACTTAATCACTGGCACATTTTTCCTTGTGAAAAATATATGTAAATATATATTAATATATTTACATATGCAAATATATCCAAGCAAACATTTTAAATATATAAAATATATGAAAAATGTGTGTCCTTCTTCTGTGTATACAATATTATTTTAATTATGCAAGTGATACATGAATTGTGTTAGCTTTCTGTCACTGTGAAAAATACCTGAGAAAATCAGTTTCGAGGAGAAAAGATTTATTTTAGCTCTTGGTTTCAGAAGTTTCAGTCCATGGTCTGGCTCTGTTTCTTCGGGCCTGAGGTGCAGCAGAACATGAAAAAGGGAAAAGGACGTAGCAGAGGGAAGCTTCTCACCTCATCATAGTGAAGACACAGATTGAGACTACACTGCCAATTTCTTCCTTCTTCAGTGTTGTTCTATCCAAACACCTAGCCTATTGGGTGGTGCCACCCACATCCAAAGTGGGTTTCTCCTCACTTTGTGTCCCACATACCATGCCTCTAGAAACAACTGCACAGACATATCCACAAGTGAGTTTGACTAATTTCCCATGCATTTCTCAATCCAAGTTGACAATCAAGGTTAACCCTAGCATGAATTCTACCTTTAAAAAAAATATTATTGATATACCTTTTCTTTATCTGTCCTTCCAAACAATCTTTTCCCTTCTCGAAAGCAACAATGTTCTCAAGTTGGTGTGTATCCTTTCAGGCCATTTTGTATATACTTTTACTCTCAGATGCATATAAAACGTGATTTTTTGTGTGAAGTATTTTTAACCTTTATATAAATGATTTACAATGTATTTTGTTCTGTAACACTTTGCACTTCTCATTGTTTTTGAACTCTGTTATATCATGTGAACATAGCACAGTTTAGTTATCCATTCTTTGGCTGATGAGTATTTAGGTTATGGTTTTCATTATTTCAGATCACATGGCAATAAATATCCTTGTACATATCCCCTGTGAATCTGTGCAAGTTTCTCTGGGCAGATAATTTTAAGATCACAGAAGCTGATCATTTCCATATCACTAGGTACTTTGAAAACAACTCCAATCAGTTGTGCCATTTGAACTCCCCTGGCAGTGTGTGAAAACATTCATCTCTCACTCTTATACCAACATCTGATGCCAACTTTAAAGCTTTGCCCATCTGAAATAACTACCTTACTGTGATTTCAGTTTGTATTCCCCTAATTATAAATGAGGTTTCACATCCTGCCATGTTTACTAGCCACTTGAATTTCCTTTTTGTGACATTCTAAAATACGATTTTGCTATTCAATTGTTTATCTTATTGATTTGTAGGAGTTCTTTGCAATGTCTGGTGAGTAATCTTTCTTACTTGGAATGCTGCAGATATTTACTCCTGGTCTACAGCTTGTCTTTTAACCTTCTTATGACTTAATTTGTCATGCAGAAGTTTTAAGTTTTAGACTTTAATTGTGCCTTCAAGTCTTACTAAGTATTCATGTATTACATTGTAGAAGAGGAGATGAAACAAATGTATGGCTTTCTGATTTGTTGGTTGATTGCCACATCTAAAAAAAATTCTCTTGTGCCTACTTGTAGCATTTTCCTTAAGGAACAGAGTTTATTTTTATGTCATTATGAAATGTTTTGCTGTGGTGGTAATGATTTTTTAATATCTAATAATAAAATGTTGACAGTGGTAAAAGCCTTGTAATAGATTTTAAAGCAAGAATTGATTCTGTTTTTTATTTCTTGCTCTTTGGAAGTGTTTATTCATGGCTCTTTTTCCTGGACTTTTTTAGTTATTGGGATATGCTATCTAAAATTATGCTGAAAATGAATTTCATATGTTTAAAAATGATTTTAAATAACATCTCTCTTCAGATGGAAATCACAGCAGACTGAAGCCTGTTTACCAGCTTTGAGTCCTGGCTCTCCCACCTGCCTAGCAGAAACAGTAGGCAAGCCACTTTAACTCCTTGTTTCTCAGTGTCCTCAGCTATCAAGTGGGATGATACTGGAGCAAGCCTCATGGGATTGCTGAGAAGATGAAATGAGTCCTCACTCATCAGAAGGCTCTAAAGCAGTGCACAGCTCGGAAAAAGCACACTATGGAGGTTGCTGGTATTATCCCTTACATGTCTTAAGATGATTATAAATGAAAGGAAACGTTGTAGATTTAGTGCTCTCTGAAAAAGACGTTCACATTAAAGAGCAGCTGAGTTCTCTAATTGTCATTTCATATGCCATTAGTGATTCAGAAAAACAAATAGTAACACTGCTGAGCCCCTGATCAATACCAAACTGTCTTTTATAGATTCTCCATTACACAATTTAAACCACCGAAGCTCAGTGCTTGCTTACTCCAAATACTTAAAAAGCAGTTTGAAAGCAAACAAAACGCCTCACAAAAGATATATGCATCTCAAATAGCCTGGCCCTTCCCAAGTGTGACTGTATTGTTATCTGTCTCCTGCACCCATGAGTCTGGGCTCTGTGAAGGCCAAGGAGGGGTATTGGTAGAATCCACTTGTCACTGTGTGGTTAGCATCCAGCTGGTGGTCCCTTCATCCTTTGTGTTAGTTGACAACATGATGTTTTGATATGTATTCACATTGTGCGGGTGATTAAATCACACTGATTTACAAATCCCTCACCTCACACACTTACTACTTTATAGGGTAAAAAACATTTACCATGTAATCTTTTATTGATTTTTAAATATACAATCCATTATTATTTCCGTCACCCTTCTGTGCAGTAGAGCACTAAGCTATTCCTCCTAACAAGTCTTGTATCCTTTGAGCAGTATTTCCCTTTTCCTCTTCTGTCCACATCCCCAGCCTTTATTGACAGCCATTCTACACTCTACTTCTAAGTTCAACATTTTTAGATTCCACGTATGAGTAAGATCATGTGGTATTTGTCTTCTGTGCCTGGCTTATTTCACCAAATATCCTCTAGGCGCATACATGCTGCTGCAATTGACAGGATTTCCCCCTTTATGAAAGCAAATACGCTTGCTGTACCACATTTCCTTTACCCATTCATCTGCTCTGGGCACAGGTTGCTTCCACATCTTGGCTTTTAGAGATAGCGCTGCAATGAACATAAGAGTGCAGCTGTCTCTAGCGTATCGATTTCAGTTCCTTTGGATGTGTACCCAGAAGTGGGGCTGCTTGGTCACATCATAGTTCTACTTTTAGTTTTCTAAGGCACTTCCATACTGTTTTCCATAATGGCTATACCAGTTTACATCCCCACCCACAGTGCATGAAGGTCCCCTTTCTATACCCTCACCAACACTTGTTATCTCTTGTCTTTCTATAGTAGCCATTCTAAGTGGTGAGAGAGAATTTGTCTTGCCAGAGGCCCTGGCTGGCTGCCTGCCTGCATTTATGTACAAGGATGCTTTTCTATAGCTCACCATCAAGGGCTGGGGTCTGAGTAGGAAGAGCCACATTTCAGATCCAACATCCCTCCCCAAGTAACTGGACAATAATTGACATACCTTTCAACTGCTTCAGTTTCTTTACCCTTAAGGGAGATGCAGTCATGAAAGATTGAGTGAAGTTAGCATGTAAATTGGTAAAAGAATGTAGGCTTTTAAATAATGAAAGTGGAATTTCACCAGAAATTACTTCAGTGACACTAACTGGATATTAAAGTGAACACCAACATATACATATGATAGGACCTGAACCAAATTATTTAATTTTAGCAACTCCATCCTCTCTCCTTACCTTGGTAAATCATTTCAGAACAAGCACACTTCCCCTATACCTCAGCTCCTCCATTGAAGAAGGATGCAGTAGGGGCTGTGATGTTTCCAGAAGTGTTTGCTGAGCATTGGTGGCTGAACTAAAAGCATCCTATTTTTTCCATGTGAGTGCATATAACCGCTCTCACCTGTTAACCCCCAGCAAAAAACCTGCCTGCAAACAATAGCTTGCAATCCCAGCATGGCACCCAGTGTTGGCATAAAGGATTCAGTGAGCAGAGCATGGGGGTCAGTCTGCTGTTGGGAGCAGGCTGCTTTTGTTGGCACAGCCCTTTTGTGTAGGATGTAGTCCTTGTTCTGCCACCTGTGCCAGACTGCACACCATCTATTTACTTGCTGTCCTTGAACTAATGGGCTCCCTTCCCCTCACCATAAACGGGTTGGTGTGAGAGAAGCTTCTCCCGCTGAGAGACTCACTTCTGCACTGACTTCTCTTTGTTAATCTTCTGCAAAATAAGGCGATTTTCTGTTGAAGAGAAAGCAATCATTAATTTTTCATAAGAGCAGCAAAATTGTGAATAGCAGAGGACCTCTTGAATAAAGAGCTTAGAGGTTCCAAAGAGAGGAGAATAACAAAGCTGGGTGGGGGTGGAAAGTGGGTTCTTTCTTACACTGTTTATCATCCTTCCCCCTCCTCCTTGTTAAGAAGGAAGAAGCCATTTACTGAAGCTAACAGTTCTTCAAATCTCAGGAACCTTCTTTTTAATCCTTATCAGTGCCTTTTTAAATGAATAAAACAGTGACCTTCAGCTCTGTCCTATATTACCTGAGGTTGGTTCATAAAGACTGCTTTAGTTTTTTTAAATTAAGGCAGATGCTATATGTATTCTACTCAATTCTAGCATTAGTGTTGTCCCAAGTGTGGCATTTATGTTCTTTCATTTCTTTGGTGTAAATAAATATCAAAGTAGGAAGACTAGTGTGAACTCTACAAGGAATAATAAACTAAAATAATATGGCATCGATTTTGTTCAGGATGTCTAAGTGTGTTTTTATGATTGTGTGTGTTTATAGCTTTTTTCACACAAGTGACGTGAATTCTGGGCAATTAAAAAGGACATGAATTTTGAGCCATTTAGGAGGAGAATCTCCTTTCTAATAGCTGAGCATTTTACCAAGTTGTGGCTCTTAAGGAAGCACACAGATTTCATAATTCTACTTTAAACTGGAATGTTATTGCAATTTTTATTGTTTTACAATATTATTACCATGACAGCACATTAGAGGACTTTATTTTGGCTGCTGGAATGCTGTATTTGGATGGAACAATTTACTGAAGAAGCAAAGGAAGCTTTCCTTACATGGTGTGCCTTAGTCACTTTCTCACTGCTGGGACAAAATACCTCATACTCACAGTTTAAAGGAAGAGAGGTTTATTTTGGCTCCTGTTTTCAGTATGTGGTCAGCTTGCTCAAGTGCAGAAATGCTGTGATGGAAGGGGCTGCTGAGGAAACCTACTCGCATGGTGGCAACCAGGAAGCAGGAGAGAAGGGCGGAGCTGGGCGAGAGAGAGCCCCTTCTAAGTCATGCCCCCAGTAACCACCTCTTCCAACCAGACTCCACTCCCTAACACCAAGTTAGTGACAGCGCCCCCATAATCCCATCACCTTCCCTTCCTCAGAACAGATGGGAATTTGGGGAGGGGACACTCTACATATAAATTTTAGTATTCTACCTCTGGCCCCCAAAAGACTCATGTGCATCTCTTTATGCAAAATGCATTTAGTCCATCTCTAAAATACACCAGCTTTTTAACAGTTCTGACATTGCTGAAATTTCCAGGTTCAAAATCTCCTCTGAGACTCCAGACAAATTCTTAGCTATGAGCCCCTGTAAAAAGAAAATTAAGCACTGCCAACATGCAGTAGCATAGAATAAACATTCCTTTCCAAAGAGGGAAATAGGTGGGTAGAAGGACATAGGAACCAAACCCAGCAGGACAAACATTAAGTCCTATCTGTCCATGTCCACCCAGCAGGACAAAGACTAAATCCTCTCCTTCTGTGTCTAGCACTTGCGGCAGGTGGTGGGAAGATGTGAACCCCAAAGGGCTTGGACAGCCCTACCCCATAGCATTGTTGGTTGCAGCCCTCATGGCCTCTCTCTTGGGGTGGCTTCACTCACTACCCACTGCTTTACTCAGATATTCTATATTTCTGGCTTCTCCAACTTCCTAGGATCTCCACTGTACTTCTTGCTTTACCCTCACCACTTCATGTGGACCTACCCTCCCATACTTTCTTCTGAAGTCTGGGTGAAAACCTTCTTGACCTCTTGCATTCTGCCTGTAAAATGATCGTCATGCAGATGACACCAGGATCTGCCACTAACTCAAGCAGTAGCTAGCCCCCTTTGGATCATGGATACAGAGTCTTCTGAGTGCCCAAATGAGAAAACTGTGAAGACAATCCCAGGAAAACAATTTCCTAGGTGGCCATTGCCCAAGGTGCCCTGGGGCTCTCTTCTCAAATGAAAGCTTTACAGCTTTGTACTCTTGAGCCTGTGATCAATGTGGTCTGATATGCTTTTAAGACATCTTTCCTGTTGTCCTAATGCTAAATATTTAGCCTCTTGTTAATGCTAATTTTTTAGCACCCAGATTCTCCTCTGCTCCAATATGTAGGCATTTCCTTTCTAGGAAACTGAGAACTTTTCAAATAGGCTTTTTGGTAGTTTTCAGTATAGATCTGACTAAAAGCCACCAGTAGTACCCATGCCACAGCCTGAGCTTTGGACTGCTGTGAAATATCCTCTCTCAGATTAACTGGCCCACCACCCTTAGTCTCAGACTCCCACAAAGTCTCAGAATGAGCAGAAGGTGTACCAATTTTCTACCTGTGCATGACACATGTGATCTCTGATCCAGCTGCTAATGGAGTTCTTTTTCCTAATTGAAACTTCTTGAGCCTGGTCTTTTCTGTCTGTCTTATTGTCAGCATTCTTATCTTCCAAGCTGCAATCAGAATCTCGCATCGGGGGCTGGGGATTCAGCTCAGCGGCATAGTGCCTGCCTGGCAAGCGCAAGGTCGTAAGTTCAATTCCCAGTACCAAAAAAAAAAACCAAAACCAAAAAAAAAAAAAAAGAATCTCCCATCAAGGTCAACTTATGGTATTCTAGAGTTGCTTCTCTAGCTGACATCTCCTCCAGTCAACGAGTTTCAAGAGCTTTGAAACCACATGGTCTGGTAGTCACAGCAATGACATCACTTCTGGTACCAAAATCTATCTTAGTCACTTTTACTGCTGAAACAAAAGACCTGACACCCACAACTTAAAAGAGAGGTTATTTTGGCATACATTTTCACTCCACAATCAGTTGGCTCAAATGCAGAAGCAGCATGCG